AATTCAGACGAACACCAGCATCGAAGGAAAATAACATTTGAAGTTTCTTATTTACGCGTTTGTTGCTTCCATTTGTTTTAAAATGTGGGCTTCAATATGGCGAAATTTCTATACGAACTATCCGGTCCATACTTGAAATCCTTAAAATTACACAACATCATTAAAAGTATTAACCTTGGACATCCTTGATAATGACCTTCAACTGCTTTCCTTGCAAATCACTGGAGCGTTACAAAAAAAAACCCGTCCCACGTTTTAGTCTGATCGTGAGCAGATTGAAGAAGACTTATAAAGAGTTGCTGTATTATGTTGAGCTCACTGCAAACTAAATGTTGGCAGCCTGAATTTGGGGGAAGGAATATTCCGCCCACCCCCCACCCCCACCCCAAAAAAAAAGCCCTCCACTTCACTCCACTCAAGTTATGTAAGCACTAAAGGTTTATATTGATCACACCTATCTACCTACGTTACATTTCAGCGAACTTAATATGCATTAGCTTATATACAACAGACTTCTCTCGGGATTTTAATCTGAATGTTCCAAGGTCCCTCTCTTGCTGCATCTCTTTAAATAATAATACCCTCTCTGTTATTATCAATGCGAAACTGCTATTGCAAAGTCGTATTTTGAAAATCCTGAGTATTTTAATCACACCCAGTAAGGGTGCTTTTCCCGATCATTAACCGAATATCTTTCTAGATTTCGGTAAACATATGGACAGTTTGAATCTGATGGTCATAAATTTATACCTTTTGACTTAGACATCCCTTCACTCAGCCCGACCTGTTGCTGATGCTTTAACAGTTTAGATTACCGATTGTTTTCCGTGTGGAAATGATATTTTAGACTCGATTGATTCATATGGCGGAAGAGGAGAAGCGGGGCATTTAAATGAAGTCAATCAGAAATGAAACACAATGTTATTTCGCCTCGAGTGAATGAAAACATCTCAGAATACTACGGTTGGTTTTAAGGGCATTTTTACAATTATTTGACCAACAGACTAATCCGTTTTTAATAGTATGGGGCAAATGGACTAACGTAAAATTTGGGATTGTTATCAACACGGTAACCGGAGTATCCAATTTCTGCAATAAATGATGGTATATTATTTATCTCCGTGTCATGTTCATTTACGTTGGAGCTGGAGTAGCTTGAAGGTTAGAGCACTCGCCTCCCAAGCGAGAGAACTTGTGGTTCAGTTCTTGGGCAGTGCGAAACGTTGGGCAAGTTTCCTTACTCCACACACCTCTGTTTATCGAGCAGTAAGTAGGAACCCGCTTGTTATTCGATTGGCTGATGGTTTTTCCGGGGGTAATAATCCCTTCCAAAAATAATAATAATAATTTAGTCACCCAATCCACGACTGCTTGTGGAACAATGCTGTGCGTAATTGGTTGCCGCAAGTATGCACTTTGTACAACATACAAAGCACCACGTAGTGTGCTAATAGCGTAACATGTAAATATGGTGTATTTCTCAAATATGCTTTCCCCAAATTTTATTGTGAAGGGAGTTTTCTCCAAGTGCCCTGGCCAACATTCCTCAGGGTAACATTGATCATTCACTTCATGGCTTTGTGTGGGACATTTTTGAGCATAAATTGGCTGCCTAGAAATACACAGTTACTATTCGTTACAGTAAAATAATGTGTTCATTTTTCAGTGAAGAGCTTTGGATGGCCTCCCAACAGAAATTCAAAGATTATTCATGAAACGCAATCTTTAATTTTTTCCACAAGGGAACTTTTTTATGGGAAGTAGTTCAGACATTATAATCCTACATAGAAATGAAACAAAGCAGTTACTTATTCACAGGGCCATGTTTGTTTTGAACATAAATGTTGTCTCGAATAAATATGTAATCAATTATTTAAATATTTTGAATTATTTAACCACGTACATCCCGAATCGACTAATGAATCGTAATTATGACTCGGCTCACTAGACTTTTGTGAATATTTTAAAATCTTTACGCCAAATCCCACATCATTATAAATGCAATCTATATTTCAACAAGTCTTATAAAAAAATCAAATTAATAACCCGAATCAATACGTACTGAATGGCTTTAATGCATAATGAGCTACTATTGAATGTCCAACATTGATAACAGGCTGGGAGACATCAGTAAAATCTCGAGCTGTTTTATTCTCCAGCAGCAAGTACGGTTAGTGCAAAATTGTTAACTAATTTACAACAGGAAATGGATGAACAAGTTGCATCTGCGAAGCACTGGAGGCGCTTTGGCAGCATTGGACTACGAGTAGCATTGCAGCTATTCTCATGTTAAGATGCATTTTGGGTTTTAGGATCTCAGTCCATCTGCCTGTTTGATGGGACTCACGCGTAATTGGCGATAGGAGGGCTGGATTCAAGCGCCCCCTGTGAGTTCTCAAAGTGTGACCACACACTACGTGCGCCACATGAGCCCGTCGCATTCATTTCTTTAAATAAAGGATTGACATACCTATAGCCCCCTATTCCCCACATTGAGTGCCATCCCACACAAAACCGTTTGTAAAACGCGATCAACATGTAGGTTGGAATTATCGCATTGAGTGACAATGGAGTCCTGGTAACCAAAATCGCTTAAACTATGTTCTTCTTTAGGCACTGCCAATGACTCCTTCATGTTGTTAAACTGTAAATAACTCTACTGTCGACGGGGGAGGGGTTCCTTTCCCCGAGCAGCTTTTTTCTTTATGAAATACCACAATTGCAGTTACAGATATTGACTTTCCAACAAACAGCAAATGAGGCATCAAAAGCTGATTTGAACTTTCTTTTTTTTAAAAATCGCGTTGTCTTGGTAAACACGACTAGATTTCTCTGTAATCGTTTGTGAAACAATTGTACCAATTTAAAACAGTTTTTTTTAATATTAACGTCCCTCGAGCAAAACTTCAAACGGATAAGAAAGATGCTGAATGGGTTCCAGGCTCCAATAGCACTTTCTAGCCTGAGTATTGAAAGAGTAGGTTAGTTGTTTTATGGGGTGTCTTAACACATGCGGAAACCTATCATCATGCTTAAGATCAGACTGAGAATTTTACATAATTATGCCACCTGCACATGGAAGTAATCTACAGTTTATTCATTTTTAAAAAGTAAACGGATACCCAACTGGTCCGATGGCATATGTTTGGGAAAAAAACATCTTATTGGGAAATTATTACTGCTATCCTCCCCTTTGCTAACTGCATTCAGCGGATTGAATGAGGTTAGCATCACAATCAACTTCCTTCTCAAACTTGCCTTTGTTTCGGAGAGAAGGAGTGAGTGTGCCTCAGAGTGTTTAAGCATCTCTCCATCCACTTTATTGAGCAACCTTTTTTATAGGCAGATAGACACAGGCACGTCTATCTCTCGCTCTCCCATGACTTTTAAAAAAAGAAAAATTGAGAACAAGGAAACTTTTTTTTCCAACAGCTGGGTTGAAGGAAAACCTCCTCCCACACTTGTTATCCTCGCTACTTGTCTTCCTAGATCGCATCCATGCGTGTCTTGAGAAGCGCCCCGGCATTGTACTGTACCGCGTTCAGTTTATGCGCCTGTGTGTTCTGTGTCAGCACTGTGTCTCCTGGAAATTTGAGGTTTTGAGTAAGAAGTATGCACCCACGTGTGCTTTAAACTTCATTGTAACTGTGTTGAGTAACGTTCCCGTAACTATATTAAGCAAAGTCAGTGAAGTGGTCGATCTAAATGTACGTATGGGCTGTGCGTCAATGTGGGGGTCTCGTCTTGATATTTAGGTTTATTCCAGACAACACTGTTTCGAGTTGTCTGCTTGCCACTCGTTTTATTACAGTCCCGTGTGACAATATGGAGTTTACAGTAAATATTGTGGTAACCTGCTTTGCAAAATACATGATGAGTTGCCTATGCACTGTGTGAGTTGACTTAAAATTGTTGAAACTGACGTTTCCTCCCTGTGGCAAGAACTCATTGACTGTGATAATTTGTGAGCGTCTGTGGGAAGGGGTGGATACTCTTTTTCCGCTACGTTGCCCCAGAGGAGGTGTGGACGTTAATATGTATACGATCACTGAATTAGGATTTTTTTTTTTTTACTGAGTGATCCCCAGGGCACAAAACATCTGATGCTGAACTTATTTCCAACACAAACCAGCCACATTCTCTTCGCGCAGTGTTAGGAGTCGAGACTGAGCGCACAGGGGATTTTGAGAAGCGGCTGTCCATTGTACTCAGTGAATCCAATTTAAACTGCGCGTTTCTCCGTAATTCCATATTTCATGGTGTCGCAAATTGTCCACGCTCCTTCATTGTGTTAATTCGCCCCATAATCGTGTCCATTGTGCATGTGAATTTCAGCCTGCGCACGAATCATGTTTGTTGCTTCTTTCTCAACCGTGTACAGTAATTTGAACTTGTTTTATTGATGTGTGAGGACTATATATATATATATATATATATGTATAATGGTACATTTTCTCGGAAACGTATACGACATATATACGTTACTCGTCTCGATCAGTAACGCGTCAGTATGGATATGCAACAGAAAATCTACTCGAATTATAAACCTATGCTCGCCTTGCTGTGGTCTGTACACTTTTTAACCGTGCTGTTCTACTAATATTTATGTGATAACTACAATTGGACGGTTTATGCGCGACCACGAAAACTTGATCTGTTTTCATGTTGTTCTGCACCATCTGTCACCAGTTTGGTGCGTCCTTTCCTATTAGCCACAATGACTCGTTGTATCAAACAAAGCAAACGTTTATCAGAACGTAAACATTTTTATTGACAACACCAGGCAGCGTGTATTACAATTATTCAAACCATGACCGAATAATCTCTTATATACAAAATATATATCTCATAGGAAAAAAATTATCAATAAATATAAAACGCACACATGATCGATATAATTTACCATTTCGAGTTACAAAAATTAACCGGAAAATCGTAGATAAAACCGTGATTTGTTAGTGTTTGTGAAAAAGACAAGTTTTTTTTTCTTTTCTGCACCACAGACCGAATTAATTAATAATGCATGAGATTTTTTTCTTGCAATTCCTGCAGCTTTTCTGCAGCCATCAATAACAATTTGCACGGTCTATTCTTTCTTCAGAAGCCTACTGATTTTACAATGTCTTTCTAACCTAGCACTGAGGGGGTTTTGTTCACAACTCTTCCTCCCCTCCAACACGCACGCTCACAGTCTAAATTAGTCTCGATTAACAGCTTGAAAAGTGCATACAGAGAGTAGATGTGCTTCAGAGCAATAAGGCAAGTAAAAGTAAGGAAGTATTACAGTACTATGTTCCCCACCCCACCCTAGAGAAAAATAAACAGCTATATCCCTCCTACGATCTGTGCAGTGCACAACCCGTAACTACACAGTTACATTTCTGACATGTGGCCGTTAAAAAAAAAACTATACGTGCGTGAATTAAACTCAGATATAATTCGCAAAGGCAGGACTGTGCAGGATGTTGCTTTGTAAGCGGGAACCGCAGCTCATGTTCTCGGACTGCATGAAAGGAAACATCTCCTCCACTGAACCGTCCGGACTCAGACTGCTGCTGCTGCTGCTGCTGCTGCTGCGGGACACCGGGGAGTACGAGGAGTCCCATTCCGAGGAGGAGCACACGCTGGCGGGGCTGGACAGCTCTAACATGCTGGAAGAGTCGTAGAAATGTTCTTTGCTCGCCTCCTCGGCAGCCTGGCTACCGCCCTGGTCTGCCATCCTCAGGGTTTCTGTCAATGCCCAGATGTAGTTGTGGGCAAAGCGCAACGTTTCGATCTTCGTCAACTTGGCATCGTCCGGGAAGGTGGGCAGGACGCTGCGGAGGGCGTCCAAGGCGTCGTTCAGATTGTGCATGCGGTTTCTCTCCCTGTCGTTGGCTTTCATTCTCCGGTTCCTCTTCTGTTTGGTCACCACGGCTTCGGTCTTAACTCTTGTGCGGCCTCTCGCCTTCCGTTTCTTTGGAGCCGCCTCAGTGACACACTTGGCGAACCGTTCTTCCGTGACTTCGTCCCCAGAGGCCAAGCAGTCCTCCGGGGTGGTGGCGGCGTCTGGGGACAGGAGACTGTGAGAGTCATCGTCGGAGAGCGCAAAGTACTGCTCCCCCTCGCTGTTGAGTTGCACGGGAGAGCACTCGGTCTTGGGAGTCATCCTGGAAGAGAGGTGGTCACAGACATCAAGTACAAAGCCAGGAAGCATTGGCATTGCAGTTGCACGTATAGCTTTACCGATTCGGGAACCGATACCCTAAATCGACGGTGCGAAGAATGATGGCGAAGAACCGCTGCGAATGAGTGCAGACGAGGAGCTGACTTGGAACTCAGCAAAATCTGCAGCCGATTGATTAAAACGCGCGGTTTTAATATAGTGAAATTAAGATAGGTTGAAAATAAAGTCCCAGGTCTTAAGGCTGAAGCATTAGATGGATGTAATGCAATTAGTATACAGTGTCGGGATCTGGAGAACTGGCAGTTGGAACCAACCTGTCGAGTGTTGCAGCAGCAGATGAAGTGAGTGAAAGGCAGGTGACGAGGGGTGTATCTGCAGGAGGTCCTCTGTGGTGGTGGTGGTGGTGGTGGTGGTGGTGGTGGCACGCGTCTGTCCGTGCCCCCAATCGCTGGATGAGCCGAGCTTGTGAAGTGGGGTCTCGTGATGCTGTGTGTCTGGCACACGACTGACTCTCGGTGCCTTTATATAGTCTGCAGAACAATACTGCCCCGGTGGGAGTGTGTGTGTGTGTGTGTGGGGGGGGAGGTGGAGTGCAGGGCAGAGAGATAGAGAGTGGTGGTGGGGGAGGGAGGAGGGAGGAGGGAGGTGCATTGAATGTTTGCTGGCGCTCGGCCCGTGCCGTTGCCCTTTTGCTTTAATGAGCAGAGCGTGTGTGCGGCTCGCGGCGCCCGGGGCCGCTGTCGGGGTCCCGGGGGGGTGGGGGGGTGGGGGGAGGGGGGGGGGGGGGGGGCAGCGCACGCCGGGAACGTGCCTGGAATTAATGGAGTGGTGGGGAGGGGGAGACCAATGGGAGAGCGTGAGACGCGCTGCGAAGCCACGCGAGCCCCGCGCCGCCTCCTTTCAGCTTCATTACTCCAGTCTCGGAACAAAGGGGATCACTAACTCACTCACTCACTCACTCCCCCACCTTCCCTCTCTCCCCCTCTCCCTCCCTCCCTCCCTCCCTCTCCACACGCTTTGCAGCTTGACAACAACAACAGCAGCAGCAGCAGCAGCATCAACGCTCAACACACACTACAAAAAGCACAACGCAACACAGCTTCGCCACCCACTCACTCACTCAGTCACCACGGACTCACGGCTCCGAACATGATATCAATAATAATGATAATAATAATGATGATGATGATGATAATAATCCTTGAATTTTGATTATAGCGCCTTATCACGCCTGCGAGACGTCTCAAAGCGCTCCACGGAATGTACTGCAGAGTCGTGAATTGACTTGTTTATTCCGCGAAAAAAAAAGTGGGAATGCGTTTTATATGAACTGAACCATGCTGCCAAAACGATTATTTTTCTTTTTGCTTTCTTTTTTTTTTAGGAAAAGAAATTCCCAAACCAACCCCCAAAGCAACAGGTGCATTCCAATTAAATCCTAAACTTCAACTGTTTTTTTTTTTGGGGGGGGGGGGGGGGGGAGAGGGCAAGGGCCCTGGTTCTTTGAAGCATTCCTGTGAAAATTTTGTTTAACATAGAAAGCAGCTAAAATGACATTACACGGTGTGGTCACATCATTTTAAAATATCCATATCCCGTCTGTGTATCATTGCAAAATAGTACCCGAGGATCAACTGCAGAGCAATGCAGATTGCAGTGCGCGCACATTAACGCCTCACTTTGGGACTTACAGCTTTGGAAATCGCATTTCCAGAGGCGATTAATGTGCGATTGAACATATTCACTTATTCTTTGGCTGCAGCCAACTGCCCGGTCAGAGCCACTGCTTCTGGTGGCGAATAAAAGACAGGTGCGGTGCACGATGCGCACGTTAGCCGATGGGAGCACAGGTTGGAGAGCCGAGCGGCTGGTGGGAGCCCTGAGGCGCTGCGGCGATATAACGGGCGCAACGTTCGTATCGGAGAGTCGCCGGAGAGGGACAGCGCCGCGACCAACCGGTGAAACCAGACGGTCGGGCGGGACCCCCCGCACCTCCCCGAAGTGGACCTGGAGCTGCTCGGTCCCGGAGTCCCGGCAGAGCTCAGGGCGGAGCGCATGCGTCACCAAAGGCGCACGATTCAAAAGGGAAAGGTGTTGTTGGACGAGTGGTCCCTCCATGTGGTGCTGTGGCCCCAACACATAAAAGCTTTGCCCTCGCACACTTTCTAAACGTTTGATTTTTTTTTGTTCACCTAACTGTGATTTTTTTTTTTCTCTCTTTCGACTTCTGCATTATTTGCCAAGTGAAAAAAAAAATGAATAGCTGACTGACTGGCAGTTCCCCCGGAACAAATGGACAGCAAAAAATCTGGTAAGCGAGTTCCCAAGCTCAGATTGCCCACTTCAAACATCCTTCAGACAAAAGCTAAAGACGGAAAATAAAGCCCCACCTGGTACCACTGTTTGCTAAAATAATAATAAATAGATTTCGTTTAATAAATAATTGCAAGAGATTGTAAAGTGGAGTGTTTTGGGAAGTATTAATCATGAAGCTTAGGGCAGGTATCACCTGCTCTGGTATAAGGCAAGTTTATTGTTAAACCTTCAGAGTAACACTTTCTGATAACTCTCTATCATTTCCACAGCAACTGGCCGCTTATGTTTACTCACATTTAGCATAACAAGCACAATATTACGCACAAACCGTCATAAAAATCAGAAAACAAAGTCGTGAGTTTAAAAGTTACACCTGCTTGGGTAAGCCGAATATAGATTTAGTATTTAACGGCCTGTTCAGGAGCGGTAATATTTCGTTTACATTGGATTATTTTATGTTCTTTATATCAGGCAAACTGCAATTCCTATCTCCCTGCCCTATTTGTCTATTTTATTGAAAACATATGGTGACTAGATGATTCCCCTATTCCGTATTTAGTTTGCTAGTTGGTGTAATGGGAAGGTCTTGCAATGTCATCAAGATAGAAATGTTATGAAGAACAAATGTCACAGATTGTAGCTCAGTGTTTTAGATAACATTGGCATATTTTCCCCTTTAATCTTAATAGGGAATGAAAAGGCTTTGTGTGTGTGTAGAAAAACAAAAAAAAACTGATGCGTTATTTTGGTCTTTGGATAGGTGGTAGCAACTAACAGCTGTTTGGTGATGTTGGGGCACATATTTAGAAAAAAAGGAAAACAAAAGGGAGTCCAAGTTGCTTTAAGCAACAAGTGGAAAGTCGTTTGTTAAATTTTCTAAATGTTGTGTGCAGCAAAACTCTTTGTAAGAAATGTAGTTAGCCCATGAACATATTGTGGCTTCTGACACAAAAAGGTGCATTACGCACGCCATTTAACACCTGTTCTTGTCGATGGCTTGTCTCACTCGCACCCCTCCTTCCAAGCAAATGTGTACACTATTAAAAAGATACAGTGATTTGTGGTGGCATATGTTTAGCGAATATGTGTATACTCTTCAGACAGACAGAGAGAGAGAGAGAGAGAGCAGCTGCTCGTTCTTACCTTCAAATAATATAATACCTGTGTCCAGAATCATTGGAGCCCCTTTCGCCCAGCGTCGCACTAATCTTGCTGACATAGCTGTATTTCATTCGTTTATTGTCCCTTTAAACAGATGACCATTGTTGCAAAATACACACAATCACAGAAAATATTACTCTTAGGGTACAAACGGCCCATATGCCAGGCGTAAGAAGTGCACATGCGTCTTTTTCTGTGGGTTTTGTCTCCAGAAGACGCAATGAGACATGGCCAAACCAAACAAACATTTTTGAATGAAAAGTGTAAATTGGGTAATTCTGACAATGCTGCATCTATATATCTTTCCTAAATTCTCTTGTCTCTTTGGAGAGTCTCCACAGCAAGAAGATAACTCAGTCTTTAGCAGTGCGTTGACTGCATATTTAGTTCCCTAATGTGTGGCACCCGGGTTCTCCTGTGAACTGAAACCAGTCAGTTTTATGCGTAAGCATTAACTACAATTTATTGAAATAAAAACAACCTTTTAAAAGGAAGTTCAAATGGATTATATTTATTATTTGCGCGGTCTGAGTCGAAAGGGCAACTTTATTTCTGTTTCTTGGTAACTATGTTGTAAACCATTTGTAAAATGCACATTATCTGGGTGGTTTGAATAATGATTTTGGAAGCAGCGTTGTCAAACTACATTCTTTGCTGATATAAACCTGAGTCTGAAACAATCCATTTCGGTCAATGTGCGGTCCGTCGGTACACGATCGCTATCTCATAATTTGTTGGTTAATGGCAAGTAGGGGTGATCGTGAATCGTGTTAGGAAATAGTGGCAGATTAGCAGCTGCGATTAAAATCATGTAGTAATGGGGGTGGGGGGAAGATCACGAAATATATAAGAGAACTTCTCGTTGCTTTGGATAACAATATGAGAAGCGAAACATTTCAATTCGACGCAAAGTTCAGTTCTAAAGATGTGTGTGTGAGTGGTGGGAGGAGGACAGTTACCTCTGGAAATAAAAAAATGCATGCTTTGCTACAAGTTGTTTCAGTGCTGCAAACATGATTGCAGTATTATTCGCAGTAAGATGTCTTTGCGTTTTATTAAAAACTTTGCGAATTTATCCAGCGACACGTTGAAGGTTTTGCTGACCCTCTGAAACCCGTATTCAACAGATAAACCCTGAACAGTACAAACAATTACCGAGGAGCTTGGGTATGCTTGTTGTGCTAATATGAGGTGGTTTGCTAGTATTTTGACGCAGGTGATACAAACACCCCGAATATAAACTCATTCAACTAACTGTACAAAAACAGAATTTGATTAATAGTTGCAGCAATTGATATTCTGAGCGTTAGTTCTCATCCTGTTCGTTAGGGTCGTTCGAGATGATGCTTTCCCCTCTTGCAATTATATTCTCCTGAAGCATTTTCAGTGTAGAAATCTGATCACCCGATCGTTATTGTTTGTCAGCTGTGGTTTAGTGTGTGTGGACGATAATATACTTAGTTTGATAACCGATTTCTAAACCAGTTAACTTCCTCTTCTTTTATGTGTGCACTACAGCGTATTGCAATAGGAAAAAAAAATATTCTACCAGTGTAGCAACACTTTTAAAATAAAATTTCAATTACGAGTTATTTTATATTTTTTAAGAATTGCATTTGTGCGGATATACTGTTAAAGAGAGATAACATTCGTGATTGCAGTTAGGAACAGTGTGTGTAATGCAATGGCAGTGCTCGACTGATGTATATATCTCTATAACTTTTATATAACATTGAACTATTCGCATGTCTTCAACATAATGTATACTATGGGTTTTTATTCGTAACCTTACGAGCCTAAGACTGTCCATGCGAAGTCACTGCGTCACCTGCTGGATGAAACTTGTTTTGAGACATAGTTCAGATTGTTCTGTTCTCAAATGGAAGATGCACATCGTCGAAGTGTGTTTAATATTTATATGTAAAGCATTTTCATTCACCTGCGAATCCTGTGCAGTTTGGAAATTGCTGGTTTGTGTGTTTTTTTTTAAAACTGTGC